CAGCGTGTGATCATATTGGAAAGCTTAATTATATCCCAGACATCCATCACACCGGGCTGGACCATTTGGCTGCGAAATCTGCCCAGATCCCCACGACCACCCCGCCTTCCAACAACCCAAACCAAAACACAATTCAAATTAAAAACCATAATCATCCTTCCAAATCACCAAACTACCCCAAAAAAATCCCCCACACGATCCCCCATTTCCCCAATAGCCAACCACATCGTCCCACCGCAGTCGCACATCCACACCCTGTGCACTTCTGCTGACAAAACCACTATGTTTGCTCCGGCAAAGCAATTATCAACCCCTTCCTCAGTTTCACGCCTCCTTTCCCTCAATAGACATCTCACCATGGCCCCCACGTCCGTGACAAAACACTACGACTACCTCGTGATTGGCGGTGGTTCGGGAGGTACCGCTTCTGCTAGAAGAGCTGCCTCTTATGGAGCCAAGGTTTTGCTTGTTGAAGCCAACTACAGAAAATTGGGCGGCACATGTGTCAATGTGGGCTGTGTGCCCAAGAAAGTCATGTGGTACGCTGCTGATATGGCCCACAAGAAGGAACAATTGAAGGCGTACGGCTTGTCTGATCTGGACGCTAAGATCAAGTACGGCGACTTTGACTGGCCTGTGATCAAGAAAAAGAGAGACGCGTACGTGCAGCGCTTGAACGGCATCTACGAGAGAAACTTGGAGAAGGAGAACGTGGAGTACGTGTATGGATTTGCCCAGTTTGTCGATGACCTGGGTAACATCGAGGTGACCTTGTCTGAGGACCAGGAGGTCAAGTTCTTGTCGAAGGACTACAAGAAGCACGACAAGTTGCTTTTCTCTGCTGACAAGGTGCTTGTGGCCACGGGTGGCCAGCCTATCATTCCTAATGTTGAAGGTGCAGAGCACGGTATCAGCTCGGACGGTTTCTTTGAATTGGAACAGCAGCCTAAGTCTGTTGCCGTTGTTGGCGCAGGCTACATTGGTGTGGAATTGGCCGGTGTGTTCCAGTCCTTGGGCTCCGACACCACCATGGTCATCAGAGGCGACACTGTGTTGCGTTCTTTCGACGAGATCATCCAGAACACCATCACCAACCACTACACCGACCACTTGGGCGTCAACATCATCAAGCAGTCGGGCAGCGTTTCCAAGGTTGAATTGGTGGGCGGCAAGAAGCGTGTGCATTTGGGCAACGGCGAGGTGCTCAATGTGGACGAACTTGTCTGGACCATTGGCAGAAAGTCCTTGGCCAACTTGGGCTTGGACAAGGTCAATGTGGAACTCAACGAGCGTGGCCAGATCACCGTGGACGAGTACCAGCAGTCGAGCAACCCTAACGTTCTTTCGCTTGGAGATGTCACTGGAGGCGTTGAATTGACTCCAGTAGCCATTGCTGCAGGCAGAAAATTGTCCAACAGGTTGTTCTCCGGCCAGGAGAAGTTTGCTAAGGACAAGTTGGACTACAACAACATCCCCTCGGTGGTGTTTGCCCACCCTGAGGTTGGCTCCATTGGTTTGAGCACCAAGAAGGCCATTGAGCAGTACGGCGAGAAGAACATCAAGATCTACAACTCCAAGTTCAACCCAATGCAATATGCCATGATGGACTCGGACGACCAGAAGGTGCCTTCTGTCTACAGAATTGTGTGCGCTGGACCAGAGGAGAAGGTGGTTGGTTTGCACATTGTGGGCGACTCCTCTGGCGAGATGTTGCAAGGTTTCGGCGTTGCCGTGAAGATGGGAGCTACCAAGGCCGATTTCGACAACTGTGTGGCCATCCACCCCACCTCTGCCGAGGAGTTGGTCACCATGCGTTAGACTAGAAGATACATATGAAGCAGCCCAGCTGCAATTAATTGAGCCTCGAAAACGATTACTATGGGACTAAAGCGAAAATTTGTAGAAGAGGGTGGAGTTGCCTGTTATGGTGGTGTGCTTGTTGCCATTCTCGGATTGCATCTGACCGGTCGGCCGTTACCCCAATGAGTCATCTGAGTCAAACACCATCATATGATTTCGGGATTTTCCAGTGGCCCACATTGGTTAAGGGGTTTATAGTTGGATTATGGGATTTCATTTTAGAGATTGTAGTGGTAAGTAGTGGTTTTGGTATTAGTAGACCATTCGCAGCCATTGAGACACGGCAAGATGGTATCCAAAGCACTAGGTTAATTCTTATTATTGGGACCAAAATTGGCATTATTGAGAGATTGATATTTCATGAAGAATCGAAGCAAATCTCGCCATACCTGGTTTCCTCAGTTTGCCCCATTCCCCACCAATTGTAGCGTTTGTTCCCAACCTCGAACAATAGGCAGCCACCTTCGACAAGCAGGCTTAGAAAGCTCTAATATGTGGGGCAGAGGAAGTGAAGTTTGTCTAGTGGAAGTCATAAAAATGTGGATTTTGCTTCGTTTGACTCAAATGGGAAGTTCCGATTGGACATTGCCGGTCTTCGAGTTTCTCTATATGGCACTTCCACATGCCTCATGATGGCCATACCCTGAAGAGCAATCAAACGTGAAAGGTACTTTTTTCGAAAGAAACCAGTATATTTCATTTCCTTCAATATCGCAAAATGCCCTAGAATACACAATCTTGAAAATTGCCCTCTCACCTCCACATGGCCCATGTGCTCGTATGCTGGTCCACCACCCAAAATCCGCCATTCTTATGTATGGTCTACCTTGTAGATACCTCTGTTCATTAAGCGTCTTACCTATTTCGAAAAACCCCTTCTTTTTGTACTTTCACCCCAGGACCCCAGTTACCCACTCATGCCTCGGCTTGTGCTCGTACCCATACTCAACCAGCCACACAGCAACCAGAAAACCAAAACATCTACAAAAACCAAAGTCTCCAATTCTTCAGCTAGGATACAAATTCACCCAAAAATACATTAAAATCCGCTGTTTTCCGAACCCGGGCCCGGATTGCTGGCCGTCCAGTGAAGTACTGGTATATCGCCTGGCTGCGAATACCAACCAGCACCCTTCACAAACTCACCGATACCACAGAAAAAATTCAATTCCACTATGAGAATTCAAGTTTTCCAGCAAAAGTAACCCAGTCTCTTTAGTTCACATTGCCCCACCCCCAGACCCTCTTTAGCCCACCCGGACCCTCGTGAAACTCCCTTATTTACACCTCTGTGCACTGCTTTTTTTCTCACCTCAACTACAACACTCCCGGAACAAACCTGGAGATTTAGCCCCACCCCTCGGCCCTGTTTATGCCCACGCCTCCCGGGCCCATCCACTGAGTCTTTTCTTCGACTCCTTTGAAAACCCAGCCATGGGCCTGACCACCTCGTTGCTCTGCTGCAATCTGGACGCAAACGACCTGGACGACAAGGTCCACAAGAGCAGCCCTCGAAGCGCCCTGCCCACGCAGAAACCCACTCCGCCAAAACCTCTGCAGCTGCAGCAGAACGTGGCGAAAAAGAGAGAACCGAAAAAGGAAAACCGCAAAGACGTCGACGACGACCAGCTGGTCAACGAAACAGACACCATCACCAACACCAACGAGGAGCTGAACCAGACGCCCACGCTAAATAACAACAACAACAGCAACCACCAAAACAGCAACAGCAATAACGGCGGCGGCGCTGAAGGCGCCCCAGTTCCGGCTGGCAGTGAAAACCCCGTGCTGAACGTGCAGAACGAAGACCAGGTCCGTAACGAGGCCCAGGCCGCTGCCGAAGCCCAGGACCAGCTCAGCGAAATGGATCTGGAACTCGACTTGACCAAGTTGCAGGAGGGACAGGCTCACCACCCGGAAACGGGCTTCCTCCTAGGGCACAAGAACACCAAGAAGTTTGGCAAGAAAAAGTGTCTTATTTTGGACCTCGACGAGACCTTGGTGCATTCGTCCTTCAAGTACTTGCGCACGGCGGACTTTGTCATCCCCGTGGAGATCGACAACCAGGTCCACCACGTGTACGTGATCAAGCGTCCTGGCGTGGACGAGTTTTTGGAGAAGGTTGGCCGTTGGTTCGAAGTGGTGGTGTTCACCGCCTCTGTGTCCAAGTACGGCGACCCGTTGCTCAACAAGCTCGACATCCACCGTGCCGTGCACCACCGCTTGTTCCGTGACTCGTGCTACAACTACCAGGGCAACTTCATCAAGAACTTATCGCAGATTGGCCGTCCTTTGAGCGAGTGCATCATCATCGACAACTCCCCGGCGTCCTACATCTTCCACCCGGAGCACTCCATCCCCATCTCATCGTGGTTCAGCGACACTCACGACAATGAGTTGTTGGACTTGCTCCCGTTCTTGGAGGACATCTCCAAGCCCAACGTCGACGACGTGGGCAAGGTGCTCGACATCGGCTTGTAGCGGTGCTCCCCGCCGGTAAGCAGGACTTACCACTCGTGAGGCCCTTTCCCTCCTAATCAGGGCCCGGTCCATGCAAAACTGAATGGTTTAATAGATTCTTGCCTTAGACAGGGCCTCTCGTCTGCCCTGGCAGCGCTCCCTTTCCGGTGCTCAATACATAATAATTTAATATTTCCTTCAGTAGTCCTGTGATGAGTAGTGGTGAAGTTTTGCAGTCGACTTGGCTGAGATGGTTTGGCAGTAAACTAAGTAAACTAGAGAATGTCACAATCCAGGCCCCGTGGGCAATTTAGAAGCAGCTCACATGAAAGTTTAGTAGAAGAATCACCTAAAAGAAGAAAAATATTGTGGTTAACAAAAAATGCCAATTTTCAGACTGGTTGAAAAAGAGTATAGTGATTAACATGGGCCGTTTATGTAGCACTCGCAGAATAGGCATACCCCGAAATCAGAGGCCCTCAACAATTGACAAACAAAACCAAATATTCAAAATTTTCAACTTCACCCATTTTATCACAAATGAATCCCAAAACAAAAAAAAGAAAATTTTAATAGTCTTCGTCCATGACTCTCCACCACCCATACATCCCAGATCTGGATCCTCATCGCGATACTTATTACTGCGCAGGCTCATCTCAACCTCCTACTACATCACCACAATGAAAATCAAAACACTCAGCAGGCTGGCCGACAGCTACGTGCCTGCACGTAACACACAGGAGCTGGCGATGCCCCGTAACTTGAATCCAGCGCTTCATCCGTTCGAGCGGGCCAGAGAATACACTAGAGCAGTCACTGCCACCAAACTAGAGAGAATGTTTGCCCAGCCGTTTGTGGGCCAGTTGGGCGACGGCCACAGAGATGGAGTTTACTGTCTTGCAAGAAACTACAAAACCACCAACCAGGTTGCCAGTGGTTCCGGCGACGGTGTGGTGAAATACTGGAACATGACACTGAGAGAAGAGCTGGTGAGCTTCAAGGCCCACGAAGGTATGGTCACGGGTTTGAGTGTGACGCCTCGTAGGGGTTTGCTTTCGTGTGGTGACGACACGTTCATCAGGTTGTGGTCGCTTGAGAGCAGCGACTTCCCGGAAGAAACAGGAGATCTTGAGGTGTTCAAGCCTGAGGGCTACAAGCAGCTGACCAACGCCTTGATCAAGACTTTTGCGGGTGACCACGCATTCAAGGGTCTCGACCACCACGCTGACGAGGACATTTTCGTGACCGGTGGCGCCAAAATCAATCTCTGGGACATGAGCAGAACCCGCCCTACTCTGAACCTCACGTGGGGTGCTGACAACGTCAACAGCGTCAAGTTCAACCGCACGGAGACGAATGTGTTGGCGTCAGCAGGCCTGGACAACTCCATCGTGCTCTACGACATCAGAAGCAACACCGCTGTGCAGAAAGTCGTCACCAACATGAGAGCCAATGCGCTTTCGTGGAACCCCATGGAGGCCTTCAACTTTGCCTCTGCCCATGACGATCACAACTGTTACTTGTGGGACATGAGACGCATGGACTCGTCGCTCAACGTGTACAAGGACCATGTCAGTGCTGTGATGGACCTTGATTTCTCGCCCACGGGTCAGGATCTCGTCACCGGCTCGTACGATAAAACGATTCGTATTTACCGCCCACGGGACGGCCACTCGCGTGAAATCTACCACACCAAGCGTATGCAGCGTATTTTCAGCGTGTGCTTCACCACCGACCTGCGGTACATTTTGAGTGGGTCGGACGATACCAACATCCGTTTGTGGAGAGCCAACGCCTCGGACCGTCTGGATGTCAAGTCGCTGAAGGAGCGTTCCAAGAGAAACTACGACGAGAAGTTGAAGGAGAGGTACAAGTACATGCCCGAGGTGCGCCGTATTGCTCGTCACAGACACTTGCCCAAGGTTGTGAAGAAGGCGCAGGAGATCAAGCGTGTGGAGGTGGAGTCCTTGAAGCGCAGAGAGGACAACGACCGCAGACACTCGAAGGAGGGTTCCAAGCCCCGTGTGCCCGAGAGAAAGAAGCACATCCGCGGCACTGCCATCAAGGAGTAGGTGAGCTGAAGAAGCAGGTGGATTCAAGCCATAGGTGGACCACGACATAACTGGACCAGGTATTGAAAAGGCAATTGTGAGCCTTGGATGATGCCAAATCTCTTAAAATGCGTGGATTTATTCATGCTCATCAGGAGAATCCACCACCTTCGCTTCAATTCATCGCTTACCTACACGGGTCTAGTCACAAGGCAAAGTAGCCGCCGCCTCAGTGCTCCACCGCAGATCGAGTCCACGGTGACGGTCCAATCAAAGCCTTCCATCACGATCAAAACACCAAAACACCTCCGACAATGGTGCCGTTGCGAGGATAGCGTGGTTCGGAACTCCGGTGTTTGTCTCGGAAGATCTCATACATGAGGGTGCATCTGGCGATTTCGCAGCCATTTTGACAGCACCTCAGCCTCGCCGCAGCCACGCTTCCTGGTTGCCCAGTCCATCGTGAAACAAATCTTTAAAGTTTGCCGCCCCTTTGCATAGATCCACGTCCATCCAGCCGACATTGCTAAGCAATGTTCGTGGTGTTGGTGGTGGGTGGGTCCTGCAGGCGGTCGGAGTGGCTCCATCAGGCGTATTGTCTCACGAGCCTTACTGGCCGCTGCTGTGCCCGTGCCACCGACAAAACTACACATATTCCCACGGAATCGCAAACATTCCATTGCAGCGCTGCCCCGTAGCACCTCTCTGGCCCAATCCGGAAATGCCAATCCCGCCATGACCCAATGCCAAGTCGCACCGCAACTGGTGAGACACCGAGAGTTGCACATCCGTGCACCAGGACGAATCACCAATCCTACTTTCCCAAAATGCCTCTCTCTTGATATCTCAGAGCTCTGCTGCCTCCCCCTCATATCAGACCAAACTGCCCTTTCTCCGTGCGCCCGACGTCTCTAGCATATAAGGAGTCGCCGAAGCCGTGCCCCTTCCATTTTTTAGAAAAAATTCCGCCTTCCCAGGCTCCTCAGCAAACCAGTCCAGGTTGCACCGCATAATCCTCACTTTCATCACTAGCACTTCCTTGATTTAGCGGCCTACGCCCCCTGTGGCAGCCCAGTTGCATTTTCCTATAGCATATCCGCGATGCCAGATCGTCACAGACTCAAGCTTTTTTCTCATTTCAAGCATCAGCTGCCCCAGGAGGAGCCCTTGAACAGGCAACCGTCCAATTCGTCTCAGGGCCGCCGCTTTCTTGGTTTCCACATTGGCAAACACGGTTCACAGGACTCGTTGGCCACGCCGACAATGACGAATTCCTCAGAGAAGGAGCATCTGCACCCTCAGGGTCCCCAGCAAAGAGACCCTCTCCACAGCACCAGAGACCAGTCCAAGTCGCCGTCAATCATAGTCCAGCACGCGTCCCAGAACCCGACCCAGGCGGCTCGCCACCACAGCATGGAGGACACGCTGTCGCCCAAGGGCCACGGCATGGCGGACTTGAAGCGTTTGTTCAAGAACAAAAAGTCCAACCAAAGCATCCACAGTCCCAGCAGCAATTCGCCGATCCAGCAGGCCACGGTGGCGCAAGCGGCGAATGGCAACTCTGACGCCAACGGGAGCGGCCTCAGCCCGTCGGTACAAGGACTGACTCCGCATAGCAGGGCGCCTCTGCTGACATCTTTGGCGGCTCTCATCAATCAGACATCCTCGCAGCTTCTCAACTCGTCACAGGCTACAAAACGCCCAGAGGGCCCGGTGCACGAGCCATTCACTCAGGATGGTTCGGCGTTGGTGAAGAAGTACGGTAAAGTCGAGAAGGAGCTAGGTTCTGGTGCTGGTGGGTCCGTGCGCTTGATCATGAGGCCTCTGGACCGCAAGACCTTTGCCGTGAAAGAGTTCAGGCCCCGCAGAAACACAGAGTCTTTCAAAGACTACACGCGGAAATGCACGGCGGAGTATTGCATTGGCTCCACCTTGAAGCACCCTAATATCATCAAGACGATCGACATTATTCACGAAAACAACAGGTATTATGAGATCATGGAGTACGCGCCCATCGACTTCTTTGCTGTTGTGATGAGTGGCGAAATGTCCCGTCAGGAGATCAATTGCTGCCTCAAACAGATCCTCGAAGGTGTCTCCTACTTGCATTCGCTTGGCCTCGCCCATCGCGACTTGAAACTAGACAATTGCGTCTTGACCACTGACGGCATTCTCAAGATCATTGACTTTGGGTCTGCGGTCATTTTCAAGTACCCTTATGACCAGCATAGCTCCAACTCCACGGATACAATACATTACTGTCATGGTGTGGTGGGCTCGGACCCTTACCTTGCTCCAGAGGTCTTGACAAGCTCTAATTCATACAACCCACAACCTGTGGACCTCTGGTCGGTTGCCATCATATACTGTTGTATGACACTCAAGAGATTCCCATGGAAAATCCCCAATGCCGAGAAGGACAACTCTTTTAAGTTGTACGCCATGGAGGATGACAATTGGCACGACTACTACTTGTCTAACGAGTGCCACAAACTTTTGTTACGTCAGAGACAGTTGAAGAATACCATAATCAAGCTGAATAAGAAGAAGAAGCTCCTACAGAGACAGCGGGATCAGGAGAATTGCGATCCCGAGGAGCGCGATGATGCTGAAACAGCCGAGGCTGTGGAGGAGAAGTTGCAGTCTTTGGAGGCCGTGCAGATTCTTGACGAAGAGAGCACTCAGGAAGTGTTGACCGAGTTGAAGAAGATTGACGCGAAGCTTGAAGAATACGAGAACACCAAGACAGAACAAAAAGCATTGTTCCAGGAGCGCCGCGAAGAACTGACTGCCGATTCCGAGCCTGGTGCCGAAAAGGCAGACGAGTCGCCCAAATCTGGGGAAAAGAGGTCCAAATCCCATAAGCTGATTCATGGGCCATATAGATTGATGAGGTTGCTCCCACACGCGTCAAGGCCAATCATCCACAAGATGCTACAGATTGATCCGCACAAACGAGCCAGCATCGAGGACATTCTCTCTGACGAGTGGATCAAGGAGATTGAATGCTGCACTTTGAAGACTGTCGAAGGAGGCAGCGGCGACGATGAAGAGGAGACCATACTAATCCGTGGGTCGCCCGAGCACGAACACACCATTGTTATGGATGATGGTAAAGAGGATGCAGCTTGAGGTTCGCTTGGGCGACTGTCTCTACTCTGGTATAATCGATCAGAAATGCACGAACATCGTTCATGTAACATTTATCTACGCGTCAGTGCTTCGGGAAACGTTGATCCAATCAAAGGCTCGAAAATACAACCCAAGTGATATCAGTGGGTCGCCCCACTATGTGAGAAGATCCGTGAGTAATTCTGTTTTCGAAACCTGGTGCACACTGCCAGTGACCCTCGATGTGGAAGAGTCGATAAAGCGAATAACGCAAATATAGCATCTTTTTCTTCATGGCTCTTTGACCCCACAAATTGAACTCTTGAAGGATTTCGATGGTGGTGCCTCCATGTTGTGGTCTCAATCGATGATCGTGAGTTGAATTTGCGGCTTGAATGTAAAAACCCAGGGTGTTGCTGGATATCACAAACCTTGCCGATTTCAATATCGTAGCTTAGGTAAATAAGGAAATGCGTAACTCATCACAACACTCAAAAGTCTATCTCATTGAGCGGCTCGAGGCTTGGATCTGGTCCGCGTCAAATCCTGTATATACATATAGAGGGTCTCCGAAATGGCTTGTAATCTGTGCCCATTGGGGTAATTCTGGTGGATTAAAATGGCCGAAATCAATGCTGTACTGTCTAATAATTTGCCTCCTATGCTTTAAACGAGTTTTCCTGTCTCACACAGCCATTTTGTTAGGACAAAGAGATCGCAGCATACTCCGAACCATGCGCATCAGAAGGCATACAAATGGTGATACAATAGCAGCTTTATCTGATAAGTTACACTTGCGTTTTCAAGTCGGTTCCTTTACCCATCGAAGGATATCATAGGTTGATAACCTTTGGGTCATGGTCGGGAGGGGCGATATATATGTTTTCGTGCCAGTACGCTGTGTGTGTACAGCCTTGTGACGAGAACAGCAAACGGCCTCGTAATCTATACACTCGTGCATGCTCTGGAGTGACACGAGTGGGTTGAACATCAAGAGGGATCTCGCTGTTTCCAAATAGATGTTGCGGGAACTTAAAAGCATTGGCGGGAGCATAAAAGAGGTTTTCATCAAAGCAACTCAAGGCAACGACTGGGAGGCATTTAGAATCAAGCAAAAGCGTCTCTTTGGTTGTTTGCTCCATATTTCTGTAATTTGTCTCTTCGAAAACTACTTCGAGGCTCTCAAATTGAACTTCAGCCTGGACACTTTCTTGGATCCTATAATAGGAGCTTCTGGCAACCATGGCGCGGATTTGAAGGATCCTAGCAAGCTTTGTACCCGGCCTCACTTTAACAACGGAGCCAATTTTGTCCAAAGGTGAAGGTGAAATGTATTTATTGTAATTGATTGTAACATCAATTAGTAGAGGCACTTTCTCGACACCCACACAAAACGTTTGTATTGGGTACAGTTTGCGGAGATCTGAGATCGGCCGCAAAGAGGTCTCTTTTTCAACCCGTTCAGCAGGAACAATACACTGTGATATTGAGGCTTCTGACTCCACATCACCTGAAGCTGAGTACAAAATCGGAGAGCTTCTCGAAGAAGCTCTGTCAAAGCATTTCGACGAACTCGTCAGAGGTTTCTGACGAGCTAAACAGTTCCGAATCTTTGAAGCTACTCGTTTGAACATACTAAGATGAGGGCTTGTCTCTTCATCCAGGCTGTAGGTAATCTCTTTTTCCAATACATTGCAGGTCTTATCGAGGCCCTTCGGGGTTTTCTTCCCAGAGAGGTATGAGACATCATCAAAGGAGCCCTTGCTCTCTTTCGCATAGACATTGCAAGTCACATCTTCTTTGCTTTCGTACAGAATGATGTATCGCTGGAAGCTATCTTGCGAAGTTTTTCGGGGTCTCTCGGCGTGAGCCAAACTGAGAGCTGACGAGTCTTCAAGGAAAAGATCGAAGGTCCCTTGTTTAACAATACATCCAGGGAAACTTTGAGGCGCAAAAGGCTTGTCCATTTCTTTTATAGATTCCTCCACTCTCGATGCAATGTTGAACTCAATGAATGCAGAAACGGTCGTGTCCGGAAACTCCTTATGTGCTATTGTCAAAGAAACCTTCAAGGCGTAGCTTCTGATGAAATCATGAGTGTAAAATGTCGGGCCAAGATCTGGTAAGTTACAGTCCCAAACTTCACCAAGGATGACAGATGGTTGTGTTGATAGACACATTGCCCTGTACGCCTTTTTCTCTAAGAGAACAACGGAGCGAACGTCACTTATAACAGAGTCTAAACTTGGTACGATACTGAATTCTTGTAGCTCGACCCGTACCTTTGTGATGATGAAAATGTTGTCGGAGGTGCTTTCAAAGCCATCGTGACCCAGAAAACTCAAATCTAAGCGGATACTAGTGGGGATAAGCTGACCCGAATACATAAATGGATAAGTGTGATCGTCTGCAGAAAATCGACCGTTTCGAAACTTCGCTCTCAACGAGATTGAATGTTTGTCGTTGAGGTGATAGACCGAGTCCGTGTTCAAGCCTGGGTTGAATCCATTAATGAGATAGGTAACGGGGGAACAGGAAACGGGAAATGATACCTTCTCCTCACCAACATTAAGGAAACATTTTTCTTCTATTTGTAAGGGCATCTTAAGGTCAGTCCAGTCGTATGTGAGCATTGTTGTTCGGCTTTCAAAAGCAAGCATTGTGTTACCAGGACTTGGCCCCTTCCCCAATGATGTAACACCGTACCGTGATCTCGCTTTTTCAATACGAGGCTTCGTATCAGGATCGCTGACCAACCGAGAAGCTCTAAGAAGGACTTCTGTGATTTGGTAGTGCTCTCCCAGAATCCACACTCCTACCGTACGAAACGAGAAAAGCCGGTCACCTAGAGCCTCAACCTCTTCAGGAATCAGACGCTGGAGATTTGTGCCCAAATTTCGAAATAGAAAAATCGTACTCACCTTCTCATCGGACATCTTGTTCAGAGTCTCGGGCTTTTGTTTGCATGTGCTCATCAATGTATCTTTAGAATTCAGTATTCCAGGGCTGGAAAGGAAAAGAAAAAGGTGTTGGGAGTGGGTCATTTATGTGGCTGACAAGTCACTTGTCATGTTTTATACGCAATAGTGGACAAAAGCGGAAGTTTGTCTTTTCGCCGCAATTCTTCATGTATCCATCCATCATGACGGTAGATATTATTTATTCTTCATTGCCTAAAAAATGCACACACTGTCTTTTGGATGCAGATGGAATACGCTGATATTATCATGCACCAAACCCGTTTCGATCCCAATTCAAGCTTGAGTCACGGTGAAATCGATCAAAATCACACTATCAATTAAGGATGGATAAACTGAGATGGGAAGCATGTATATCGACGGTTGTGAGTGAACGAAGGTTGTAGGTAAGTTCACAAGACGTCCTCAACATATGGAAAATCAACGATCCAAAGAGTTTGTACGAGGCGTCACAGTACAAGACAAAGGATCATCCTTCATGAAGGCGAAATGGCCAATGGTGCTTTTTGAATGTTAGTAGCACAGGTTGCGCTTCCACACCGCACCAGACTTGATCATAAGTATCCAGTTCTCACCTAGTACAGAAAACCTTGGTACTTCCAGAATGTATTCTTTGTGTTGCGTTATTTATTGTTACAACTCAATGGCACTTTTCTAGATATGGTTGCAGGAATAAGGCTGGGTGACCTATCCTCTATCAACCCCGTCTACGGTACCTCAAGCCTTGACAACAAGGCAGAGGGCAACTTGAACACGCTCACGATATGATCCGTTGATTGCTTATCTTGAAGGAGGGCTACAATTGGTGGAACAACACTGGCGGGCTTCTTGACATGAGAGACGTTACCAGGGCCCGTTAGCTTGCGTTCCAGAAATACGAAAATCCAGGAAAGAGGCCCCACATGACCAACGGCAACTCCAGCGACCAGATGATGTGTGATGCTATACACATGTACTTTCCTGGGTTGGCGATTTCAACGGGCAAACCAGGCAATGGTCCGCAGTATGTAGCACCCATGGCCGAAAAGAGAAAGGGCAGGAGCCGTGATTTGCTTCCATTCGTCTTTTTGCCTTTTGAAAGGTCTTTGTGGACTCAATTCCAGGAGCATTCAAGGATCCAGAAGCATTGCAAGATATAGGCTTCCGGTTAGGCGTAGGATATGGTGAACGTAAAACTCCGCAGAGCTATTGGGTAGCACCAAAGACCAGGTTCTTCGTCTGATAGCTAGATGTACTTCTGTTCCAATAAGTTGATAGCAGGCTTTTGAAGACCCGCAGTATCGGACTCCCATAGTGTGTCTCTCACGGACAGACCCAATGGGGAACCTTAAGCTGCCGAAGACGCCTGGGCATTCAGCAAATGCAAAACTTGCCATATTGAGCGAAACAAGAATGACTTCCTTTGTCTGCCATCTGAGGCGACTTTTCAATGCCACCGAGGTAGTCGGTGAAAGTGGCTATAGAACCACCATACTAGCAGAGCTGAACCTGGATGTACCATCTAGCGTTTCATTTTGAAAATCAGGGTTCCTTTGCTTTTGAAGCAATGGCCTAACGTAGCCCCGGACGACATTTACGAGCTAGACATTGGTGGTGGTCGAGGAGACATAACGCGATTTAAGTGTTTTTTGCAGCCAACCCCAGAGTCATTCCCCCCTTAATACTCTCTTCTTCCACAACAATGATGGAGTATAGATATTCCAAATTGATGCCGTCCCGAAAGCCAAAGAAATCGACCACCAATGGATGGTCAGACTTCACTTGTACTCTCTATGTCCTTGCTAGGTTGGTATTCTTTGGCTGTCTCTGTTGGGTACTCTTCTTAACCTCGACTCTGTTTCAGAGAGTGGCTGATCTGGACTCCCACCAAATATCTACCACCGATGTAGGTACTTGCCCTCTCACTATCTTGAACCAGCAAACTTGTCGGATCGACAACTTCATTACCTTCGCAAGCGCCTCTATGCTGATGGTGGAGGAGCTGGAGAGTGTCCAGGAACCGAAACCCCAATTTGCGGATAATCGTCTGGGGCAATCCAGCCAAGGGATTCAAGCGGTGATTCCGCTCAAAAAAGAGGATGAGGCTCTTATTCTCACCACCATCTTGTCTATTTTTACCCACTACGTGGCTGCTTCCATCGCGTTTGACGTCTGTTACAACAGAAGCGCACACGCTAAGTATCTCTACTGGGGATGTTACGCTACCTGGGCGGAGATGTTGGTCATCTCGCTTATGATGGGAATTGGTTATTTCCGTTACTCCAAATGGGAATTCCTTGAACTGTTGTGTGTTTTCATGATTTACTTGGGACTCATGAGCTTTTACTTCTTCAAAGCTGCAGTTGACACAGAGGAGGGTGACCTTGATGTTGAAGGGATGGCTGGCAACAATCCTGATCCTCACGGCGAGCCCAATCAAAGCAACAATCCTGACCCAACTGGCATGCCCCATCGGGAGAACGTGGGAATTCATTACTATTTGGGGAGAGCGGATGTCCATTTCCATACTCTGAGGGTTGATACTGGTCCCAGCGCTCGGAGATATACACCATCGAGCCAGGAATCGGTTGAAGAGGTTGTAAGACTTGATTCCAATGTGCGAGGCCGAGGAAGAGTCATGCCAACTCAGCGTGAATCAACACGAAAAAGATCCTCGAGGCACAAAAAGCCCCATTGTCATTCTGAGGTGTCAAGTTTATGGTCCGAAATCTCCTCATCTTGAAGCTTCGCAGGTTTTCAAAACTCACCGACTGTCTCTCATAGGAAGTCAACGCCCCGGCACACTTTCATCAGCATCTGAATTAAAAGTTCACACCTACGAGTATTTAATGTCGACACAAAACTAGAATTAATTTGAGCGAATATCAGCGCTTGTCCAGGCGAAGGACCGGAGGCCACCCAAAACACCCTTTGATCTCTTCAGTGAAGTTTGCAAAGGTTAGTGAAGCTTCTGTTATCTAAGGAATATAGGTTTTTACGTGTCCTTCTTTTCTCAATAGACGGTAACACTCGTTGATGTCCATAAGGATATCAATGCTCTCCGAGAGTTTACAATCAATCCTCTCGAAATAACCACCCGAGCCCACTGCAACTCCATGTGCCTCCATGCTAACATTGAGTTTGTAGCCCTTGTGATAACAGTCGGAAAAGGTGGAGGGCATGACATTCGGGATCTCGCAGCCTTCAAGTAATCCTTCAAAAATGAAGTCCTTCTGCCCGTTATCCTCAGCTTCTCGGAAACTAAGGCGTTTTCCATTCTTGCTATGCAACTCGTACTCTTTGTGGAAAGCTTCCCTGCAAGTCTTGCTAAACTTCACAGTTTGCTGACCAAGAATAACTTCAAGATTATCAAAGTATATCGTAACGGGATGGTAACTTGAAGTGAATCTAAACGCGATACTTGGATCGAGAGTCATTCCAGGTCCAGCCATAAGTGCTTTTCGATAATCACACAGGAAGGAAAAACGATCATCTTTGGAACCATAGTCGTTTGAGAATGAAAATTCATCAAAAACATTCACAAATCTTGAAACTTCGAACATCCGTCCTGGAATGCCAGCGTTTGAAGTAGTCAACAAGGCTTTATTGACTGTCCACAGCCCTTTTTTTGGAAATAAGGCTAGACCTTCGTTTGCCTCTATCTCGTTTACCTTCTGTTCTTCTTGAAAGTCATAGAAGTTCGTTGTATGTAAGGTGGCTATTACCAAAGCCTTTTCGTCTTCAACAACAGAGGAGAGATGATAGCTAATACAGTCCAATTCCATCTCTTCTTGCCTCTGTAGGCAATACTGAATGGCATTCTGAGCAAGATAAGAGTCTAATTCAAATGTTTCAAGCAACATCACGTCTTGCTTCTTCTGAACTTGGAAAACGGGCTGTGCCAGATCAACCTGTGTGGCAACTGCAATATCCATGACTGTAGAAATATGCTTCGAACACTTCCCCAATCCACATTCTAGATCGATATTGAATCGAAGGGCATAACTCCGAGTGCATTTGTTCGAACTGTAGGTGGGCCCAATATTTGGGAGGCTGCAATCGTACAATGACACATTTGGGGAATGCAAAAACCCAGTTCCGAATTCTTTGAAGTCAGAATGGGAGATGAAGTTGTCGATGCTTGAGTCTTTCAACACCACCGTCCGAACTTCCTCGGATACACAACCCTCCTTCAGCGCTATGTGTTGATATCTAAGATGCTCCTCTAGAACAATAGTAATGTGGTTCATGGAGATGTCACCTTGACAGGTACAAAAAAATGTCTCGGTCTGCTTGAGGTCAAGTTTAACGAAATCCTTCAAAGATGAACCGCTTTTCACCATATTTCCAGCCAGTATTAGCTCATATTGTTTAGGCGGCTTGTATGTTGCCAAAAGCTTCACCTCGATTGTATCCTCTTCTTTAACGTCAACGAAATCCTCTGGAATCACCGGCTTTTCCAGCGTATCCACCGTGTCCAGGGAGCTTTTGGCTTTCAAAGGAGTCACACCAGCATCAAGAGGAACAATATGGTTTCCGACCTGAAGGCAACGTATGCCTACAAGAGAATCCTTTCGTAAACCTTTCGAAGGAAGAAGGTGATTGATTAGAAGTTGGTTCATCCTGGTGAAACAGTACACAATCCGTCCTCTGTCATCAGTTAAATCTGGCGACTTGCCAAAGCTCAGCATGCCTTCTTCCCTCTTCATATCATTTAGAATGTCTGGAGGCACCACTGAAAGCTCACCACGAAGATTGAGAGAGCTAACCGCCCATAACTCTCCGTCCACTTTACACGCAAAAGTCTCGTGTGAGATGTAATTCGAGGGACGATTTTCCAATTCATAGGAGACTGAAAGGATGATGCCATCGAAGAGCCAATCTCTTTGAATGATGTGTAAGCTTGTCGAATTCATTGGTGCAAAATCTAGGGAGGTAGAAAGCCCGAGGCAACTTTGGTCAGCTTTATAATATGAATGAGCACCGTGGTCATGCAACAAACAGCATAAATGTTATTTTCTTGCGACTTTCACGTATTCCTAAGACATTCTGTAATGTCTAAATGTACCTTCTCTAGCAGCACTTCTCACAGTACGCTAATTTCACTGGGTAACCAAAACTGCAGTAGTCCGCTAGGAAGTATTTCAAACAAGGCTCATGGTATCTTTGAAGAAATTTCCAAAAGACTGGAAATTATGGAACGGTGGTTTTTTTTTTTGTGTATTCCTCCACCAGAGTTGTACCACGGTGCTCACAGGACGAAGCAAGACATCTCCGTCATGAGAAAACACAGCTGCATGGGGTGACGTAACGTAGAGAGTAACTAGCAAATTTGCTGTTCTTTCCAGTTTCTGGTAGGGTTTAATGATATCGCTTTTCCTCGACTTTGCAGTTTCCTCAACATTTTGCACCCCATAGTCACTGCTACTTTCAAGTTTGAAGCGGAAGTCCGAATACCATCATTACAAAAAAAGCAACTCGAACGAACAATAAGCTCCGTATGGACCAAAAACCTCAACGCTTTCAGATTTGCTTATACATGCATTTCACAGAATGATAACATGCGATATGAGAATGACGAATCTCGAGCTTCACCATCAAACATACCCATCTACATTTGGTCGTCCAAATTCATCAAATCCCCCTCTACACCAACTACTTGGATATGGTCCCCTGTGCATTTTTCTGTAAAACCAAAATTCAACACATGCTGATTCTCCTACATGCGGCCAGCCAAATACCCAAGTAGGTTCGAAGAGTAAGCTTATTGACGAATGCAGTTTATTCAAAGATGACGAAATAACTCGAAAGCTACCGATATTCAGTATAAGCACGCACATCCCAACTTTCAAGCTTCACTGAAGCTACCAGAGATTTATCTGTACAAGGTAAACTACGGATCAAATTCTTGTAGACGATATTTCTCTCAACCAACCACCTTGGTATCCTCCAACCAGCGAAATTCTGTTTCTTCAGCGAATTCCCCAGCCCAACAGAGACGGACTCTCACCAATCAGAATGATTGGATCGCGCAAATCGGTGTTTGACATACTAAACTTCCTGGTGTAAGACTAGGTACTAGCGGATTCTGAGAGCAATCCTTCACAGTGCGGTGTCACAGTATCGATCAACTAGATAACGACCGAGCACTAGTTAAGTCGGGGTAAAAAAATCACACCAAAAACAGACATGGTCAATTCTCCCAGAGTCAAGCTCCTTAATGCAGACTATGCCCGCAGGCTCATCCAATCTCCTGGTCCTAGAGTGGTTCCAATTGATGCAACTTGGTACATGCCAAACTCACCTAACAATGCCAAAAAGCAGTTTGCTCAGGACGACCGGATCAAGAACTCGGTGTTCTTCGATTTAGACTCGGTCTGCTGCCGTACCAGCAAGTACCCCCATATGCTTCCTCCCCACAGATTGTTCGACAAGGAAGTCGGCAAGTTGGGTATCCGCAATGACGATCTCCTCCTTGTCTACGACAGACAAGGCATCTTTTCGGGGCCCAGAGCTGCTTGGACCTTCGCTCTCTATGGCCATCACAATGTGTATTTGTTGGACCACTATCCTCAGTACAAGCTGAAGTACCCAGTTGAGAACGGAGTGGTCGACACCAGCGAAGCTACTGACAACCTGCCTTACGAAGGGATCGACAATACTCAATTTGGCAAGAACTATCGTGAGCAGGTCATCGAGTTTGACGAGTTGGCTGACCTCGTGGTGCTGAGAAATTTGGATGAATACTATGTCTTCGATGCTAGAAGCGCAGACAGATTCCATGGCAAGGCCCCTGAGCCACGGAAAGGATTGCTGTCCGGCCACATTCCGGGGGCCCTCAATTTGCCCTTCACCAAAGTTTTGAATGAATCTGGCCAGTATAAAACCGTCGAAGAGTTGGTGGAACTTTTCAAAAAAGACTTTGGGCTCGACTGGAACGAGCCATTGGACAGGAAGGGCGTGATCGTCATGTGTGGAACAGGAGTGACGGCCGTGATTCTTCGTCTAGCAATTGAGAAGATCAACTCGGATATCCCCATTCGTGTCTATGACGGGTCATGGACAGAGTGGGCCCAGCGTGCGCCGGATCTCATCGCTGAAGGTCATTTGTAGTCATTAGCTCCAGATTCTGACGGTCTTATCGACTCCACCCGTGACGAAAATACATCTCATATCGTGCTCAATTTTCTTCAATAGAGCTTCCTCTGTCTTCTCTGAATCTTTGGTGCCTGACATTTCAAACGAGGCCATATGAACCGAACTGACAAATCCCTCATGCGCCGTCAAAGTTTTGATGCAACGAACCTGCCCCTTATCCACCAAAGTAGAGAAGTCCCATACTCTAACCGCCTTGTCGTCTCCTCCACTGAATAAGTAGCGACCCAGAGGGTGCACACTGAGGCTTTTAACCCACGATTGATGGCCTATAAGGTCTGCCAAGTGCCAACCCTGGGAGTTGTTGAGCTCTGACGGAGCAGGTGGGCGATTCGGACGTAGAGTAGGCGGTGGCAAGAGCCATAATTTTATCAAGGAGTCTCTTCCAGCAGAAACACAATACTTGTAACCCAAGTTCTCCTCATAGGCCGGGTTCTTCACAATGTCCTCAGACAACGACGAAAACTTGTCGAGATTCAGGAGCACAAAGCCGTCTAGATATTTATTTGAGAGAAGCGGCAAGAACTTGACGCTCTCAATGACATGCGTGTGGCCCAAAAGAAGTGCAAGACCAATGCCGGAGCTTGCATGCGATAATCTTATGGACTGGTCGTTGGAACATGTTAGGAGGAAGTCGCCTAGAGAGCCCGATGTTCCGGCATCGACAAGATGTTGCTCCACGGACGCTGCGTCCACATCCCTGGCCCATTCGCTGTGGCCGACAAACTTCCTAGTGCAAGTACCATTGGCAACGTCCCATACACGGACAGAAAGATCACGAGAAACCGAGTACAAAACGAGCGGATTCGTCGGCAGAAACGCCACAGACGAAACGGTGTGTTCGTGGCCAGAAAGCGTACGTACGTGCTTCAACGAGTCACCTTCCCAGATCTTCACAGAGAGGTCCAGAGAGCAGGACGCCAATATCCATTCTTGAGGCCCATTTGGGACCAATGTTGCCGGCGAAGGCAGCCACCGTAGCCCTGTGACGCTTCGGGTGTGAGCTGTCACTATTTTCTGTGGAATTGCCAGGGAATCGTGGACCATGTTCCATGCGATAATGCTACCATCAGAGGCGCCTGCCACAACCAAGGGAAGAACAGGATGCACCGCCACACAATTGATGAGTTGCGTAGACAGTGTTTTGTAAGTGGTGGTGTTGACATTTGGGATCCAATCTAGTTTATCTCGAGGAAGCACCAAGGCGGACCCGTTGGATCCACTTTGAGCCAGGGTCTCTAGTAACAGTTTGTAGGAGGCGACCTCGTTTTCCAAATCTAGGATTCTTTTCTGAAGGCGGACCACGGTCGTCCATTTTTTCTCCAAGTAGTTGGGAACAATCTCATCGTTGGGCGTTTTGATCTCTAGAAGCTCTGCTAGCATCGGTAGAAGTTGATCGTTAGCATCGTCAGCTGCGGCTATTTTCGCCTGGGTATATTGAAATATGGCTTTGTTGAGCTCAGCTCGCTGCTTGGTGGTTAGAAGCGACATGGGCCGTGTGTATAAAGTAGGTTGATCTGGAGGATCTTTGATGTTGTTGGATCAATTGTAGGTAAATAAAGGCGCGATGTAATCTGGGGCGCATCTGGTTTTGAGATATTGCATTACTTCTATATTTTCTATGGGCGTTAATTTGCTGGCACTGGGATGGCTCTGTTTTTGAATTTTTGTTCTTGTACTTGGCTTGCGTTCATTTTTTGTTCTTGTGCTTGATCGGTACGCTTCCTCAATTCAGAAAGGATGTCTCACAATGCGTTTTTCAGTAGAGGTTCCCGGCAACAATTTTCGCTGAAATTTCACTGGAATTGGACCCTCATGAACTGAGGCCCTTTCACCTCCTTTCACGAGAAGTGCCGGCTCTAAGGCACCGAGCAGGTGATCCGATTAAGGAACTACTTCTTCAAAGCAGCGAAACGAGCCTTCAAATCATCAAACTCCAGCTGAGGCTTTGGTGGCGCTGTCTGCTTGGCAACACTGGGTCTTTGCTCGAAATCAGCCGCTATAGGCTCCTCGGGCAACCCTCCCTCGCTTCCGGAATCATTATCGTCGTCATCTTTGGAAAGCTCTAGCTTGGGAGGCTCATCCTTGAGCCCCAGATATGGTACACTGTATGTCCGGGCAATTTCTCCCAAGTACAAATCCACAAGTGTCTCCGATGGCGGATCAACTGCACATCTCTTGACGATCTTCTCTGGAACGTACTCACTGTTAGAGTTCGTCTGGACTGCAGCGACGAATTCAGGTCCGTATCTGTGCTTGAATAGTTCACCCAAGGTGATCAATTCCTTGACTTCTGTGTGATGGCAAGAGTAGATCACCAGCAGAATTGCTTCTTTCAAGTTAGGGTCCACCTCATGCCTCAGGGTGTCCAAAATGATCGAGATTCGTGCAAGCAAAAGCTCACAATAAAGTTCAAGAAACTCCAAAAGCTCGATGTAAATGTCGTCTCTAATGATGTTCTCCACTCGGATTTTGGCACTAGATTCCTTTCCAGCACCAAGTAAGTCAGCCAATTGTCTCCTCTGCTGCTTGGTAAGCGCTGTCTTCTTTTCTTGCAAGAATTTGAGTTTTGAAATTGCCATTTTAAGGCTTGTTTTATATTTCACGGAATTGACTTGTAATGGCGGCATAATGGGGAATAGTAGAAGTGCTTATCGATGTGGTAGCATGTATTGTGCTATCGCACCTGTACCTCTCCGGGGTTGGACTATAAGGTGACTCTCTACAATATCAAGTTTTCATGTCGTCAAAGGTATTTTTTCTATTTCAAAGAATAATGCTTGGATGGTTTGATTGATAAAGTTTACAATAGGTACTGTGCCAGGCCATTTGCTAGCAACATGGGGTTCAAGTGCTAACCACACAACGTACCATATTAAACCAATCACAGTAATCTTACTTGTTTGTCTTCACATCAAAGTTGGCACTGAAACGGCTCGTGTCGGCCTTCATGAACTCACGAAGGGCCATAGTAGCATAGCAACTTACACCCAAACGCATTTGCAAAACTATACCAGTTTGAGTGGCATCTTCTGATCCAGAGTAGTCAATGATCTTGTCTAATGGTTCGTCATTCTCTTTTTTAGCATGCAAGATTTCCAAATCGGTTCGCAAGATTGGATCGTTCGTGTCCTTGTGCTTGACTAGCTTGTAGGAAAGGTTCGTGGCTTTTCCCATAAGTGGTCTGTAGGACCCAGCCAACGAGAACTCTTGCACTCTTCGGCGCATATTGTGGGGATCGAGGCCATCCTTGGCCATGACGTCTTCGTAAACGGACATGAGTTCGGGACTTGTTGGGTATACAACATCGTAGCCTGGAGAAGGAAGGACAACGTCGTAGATGGAGTACTTTCCAGATTCAATATCCTCCTTGGTCAAAGCTCTCACCTTGTCTGAAAGCGTACCAGCAACGTCTTCTTCAAACTCCTGTCCATCTTCATCGATCGAGGTGATCTTCCTGCTCTCTGCGTTCTTCTCCTCCACCATGATCAAGTCTCCTTCACGGACCTGTAGACCAAAAAGCTCAATTCTTTTTGATGCCACCATGTTCCACACGTAGGACTGGTAGGCATGAACGTATATGAGACGCAAGTTTCTAGGAATTTGCATGATGGCACGGAAGTAGGCTTGCTTGTGGTAATCCTCAATCTCGGCCTCATTCACCTTCTTCTCCTTGGCTAGAGATGAAAGCACATTGTGTTCAGCGAAACATCTTTTCGGCATAAGCTTGGAAGCTTCTGCGGCGTCTCTGCTCTCAGCCCAGACTCTACGAGCGTTAACCGACTCAGCAACGACTCTGTCTTGTTCAGCTAATAGAAGGTCAACGGCGTTTTTCCAATTTTCCTTCAAAAGCTCAATGCCCAAAACGTGCGTGGAAATCGAGAAGGTGCCAAACCTCTGTAAACCGTAGTAGTTGATGAAGCCTTTCTCCTTGAGAGAGTTGAAAGCACGTTCAACGACTTCCTCCAAGTTGGCCTCGTCGGTTTTGACGTCACGGATGGCAATCAAGAACTCGTTACCTTGGAGATCACCGAGATCAAGCGATTTGCTTTCGTAAGAAAATCCGCCGAGAATGGAACCGTTCAAGCCCTTGTTGAGAGCTGACACTCTCTGGACCTTGCCCTTGTGGATACTGAGCCTTTGACAGGTGACACCACGACGGTCCTTCGTACCAGCGTACTTGACTGCCTTGTGTGGCACCCTGAGGAATTTCGAGATCATAGAGGCCACTTCCATCGTTTCCCTGTTCTCCTTGTAAAGAGTAAAGTGCAAGTAGTTCTTGAATGGGCCCAAGCCGTAGTTGATCACGCCCAGGTCATCGACATGGTTGACGTTACGGCCCCTGTTGTTGTTTGTACCCTTGGACAATGCCACTTTGAATGTGTTTTGTGGAGACGTCATGGTCTCAAGCTTGCCCTGGAAGGCTTGTCTGAGAAGCTGGTGCAATTGCGTTCTCAAGGCCTTGTCACCAAATTGTGTTTTTGTCTCCATGTTGCCACCATTGGTGAAAAGGGCCTCGATTTCACCTAGCTCTTCAGCAGTAACGAGCTCCAAGAGACGGGTCTTGTGGTCCTCACTGAGCTCATACTTGGGTCCTTCGTTTTCCTTCTCGGCCTCCTTGGCCTTCTCTGCCTTTTCTGCCTTGATGGCCTCCACCTCCTCTGGTGTCTTGTCCTGAAGATCGGCACGATCATTGAGTCTTCTCTCCTGCTTTTTCTCCTTCTTGGTCTTTCCCAAGTCGATACCCTCGTCTGTCAAGTGCACGACAGTGCCGTCCAACAGGATCTCGTTGACCTGGAAATCAGCATACCGTTGCTTGATGGAGCCAAAGAAACCGGGCCCGGTTTTGTACGCTTCGTTGATGTACTGTGTCACTCCAACATCAGCCTCCAGAACAACCTTTCCTGGAGCAGCGTATGTCTTTGGTTTTTTCACCTGCTGAGCGGAAGGCGAGGCGCTTCTTTTGGCCGAATTCTCCATGACGTAGTTCAAATACAGACTGACCCTTGGAATTCTTCGAAAGAGGCTGGATAGTCACGTTCTGGACATGTAGGGTGGATCTGGTTTTTTGAGATGGGCCTGATGAGCCTGGGTGTACTGCAGGCGAGACGGGACCTTTAGAAGCCAGAGTAGACATTTTAGCTGTGATTGGGCATGTTTTGGAAAAAAGGAGTTTTTGTAGTAGCCATTGTGAAATCAATTCTCTCACCCTTGTACTGTTAGCTCATCGTTGTTGTTTCAGATCTTAGGTGTGTTGCACCTTGTACAGCGTCAGACAAGAGAAATCTTCAAAACTACAAAAAGCCATCCTTAAGCTCCTCTTCCCTTAAGACGTGTCAATTGTGAAAATTCACCAGATGCTCCACTTCAATGGCTTGTCCAGAAGCCCATTTCATTATATGGGCCCCTCACTGCCGCACTATAAATGGCTGCAAAACACAATCCAACAAGACTGCTTTCCACCACCACCTTTTTTGCTAACTCTGCTAAATGTATCCTCGCTACTCTTCCAAAATCAAGTCGCTGATCCATGGTGATTCGGTCCGTAAACCCGCCACCGGCTCCTTGCCTCCGTTGTATAGGAACTTCTCCAGGCTGCCCAAGTCCTTCAACAGCTTCACAATAAGCAGATCGAATCTTGTAAGAGATTTCATCTCGGACCAGTTTGAGCGTTTCCGCTACAAGGAGGAACATCCACGGAACAACGGCCAGGACGTCCTGCTTGAATGGTTCGCCAAACTCCAATTTGAGGCTGACTTTGCGGATGATTTGAACGCCGTTCGAAAGCAGAAGATCAGGCCCTCTTGCTGGACCAACGAGCAGCGGTATGTTGTAATGAGCGATTTCCCTGCTGACGCCAGTTTGGCAGATTTGCTCTCTAGGGTTCGTGGAGGTAAGCTTGAGCGTGTGGTTTTGGGAAAGCACCCTGAGCCGCATCTTGAGCTCTACTTCTTAGACTACAAGGCAGCAAATGCCTTTTCTCGGTTTGCAGCAACTGGTCTTTTTATCATCAACGGCAAGAAGCCGCTCATTGGTAGAAAGGTTCCAGAAAAGAGAATCGAACCCGTACAAGACTTGGTGAGGGTGGCTGCCGAGAGAATGAATGCATCGAGAGTTCTCAGACTCCAGAGCCCTATTGAAGTGCCCGCTATTAGCTCAAAAGCCCAGGAACGGTTTCCTAGACCCCGTCAGTGGTTCGTGAAGACCTTCGATATGGAGGATATCCGGAAAGACTTGAGTCAGTACGGGACGATTGTCGAGATCAAGCCGGTGATTTCCCAGGGAATTGCGGTTTCTGTTCACTTTACGTCCATTTCAGAGCTGCTCTTGGCCTTGCGGTCCATTGGGATATATGATAGTCTCCACTGGCACAAGTACAAGGAGTGGAGCATCAGCTTTTCGCCGGATCCAGCCGACACCCCTTGCTTCAACGTTTAGGGAATTGCTAGGTGATAGCTAGAACATATAATAAGGAAAAACCAAAAAAAAAAAAAGCACGACTTGTAGTGTTTTTGGTTCTCTGAAATCGCAACTAAGACTCCTCAGGACCCTGGACTTTTTCGCAGCCAAACTCGCGGCTCATTTTTAGACTATGCCCTAGGCAAAGCAGTACAGCATTCACCAGATTCCAAAACATCAAATCATTGAAGAAAATAAAAATAATTTAATGCTACTTTTTCTCTTTCTATTTTTCAAGCAGTTTAATTGTCTGCCGTGCCGCCCTATCCTCCCCTTGACAACCCCCGTCAAATACCCTAATCTGCTTTCCTAATGCGGCGTTGATGTAAACAAAGCTATCTGTCTCACTTCCCATACAAAGTTTCCATCTTCCATATCGCTCTTCAAACGCAATAACCACACCATGTACCGTTCAGGCAGAGCTACCCCAACGTCAAGACCCAGTTTTCAAGACCTCAAACGACCGGCATCGGCCCGAGGTTATAGACCTCAGCTGCCTATGATCTCGTCTTCAAGACCGTCCTCCAGTATGGGCTCCAGGCCTTCCACTCCCACTTTCAGACCAGAACCGTATACGGGCTCGATTTCCGTCAGCATAAGGCCTAATCCACACACAAGCAGCGCCGGCCTGAACCAGGTCTGGCAAATTGAAGAATACTCCAACACCATCACCAATGCCCAGGACAATTCCTCCTACACCTTCGATAACGTGTTCGGGCCTTCGCTAGACGTCTCCAACAGGACGGTCTACAACCGTTCATGTGCACATCTTGTGAACAAATTTCTCCATGAGGGCTACAATTCAACGCTTTTCGCCTATGGTATGACTGGTTCAGGTAAGACCTACTCGATGCGTGGTGACGACCACGACCCAGGCTTTGTTCGCTTGGCTATCGACGACATTTTCACCAAAATCGACTCTCCCAACCTGGGCTGCTCCTATGCTCTTTCGGTGACCTATCTCGAGATTTACAACGAGAAGATCGTGGACCTTTTAGCCAATGGTGGTACGGCAATGGGCTCTCACGCTGAGCTCAAAATCAGAGACGATCCGGACTACGGCGTGAAAATCATGGGTGTCTGCAGCCCGACCGTATCTTCCAAGCAGTCTTTGCTCCAGCTTATAAAAGCTGGTGATATGAAACGTAAAACATCTGCCACAGACTACAACGCTAGACTGTCTCGGTCCCACGCTATTTTGCAATTGCGTCTCCATACGGTGGATATGGCTATGAACACTGAGCACAAGGCGACCCTTTCACTCTGTGATTTGGCCGGTTCCGAACGGGCCACTCTGTGTGCCGAAAGAAGAAAAGAGGGCTCTTTCATCAACAAGTCCCTTCTTGCGCTTTCAACTGTCATCAACAAATTGTCGCTAGCATCCACCTCCGGCAGCATGGACCACATTCCCTATAGAGACTCGAAGCTCACGAGGCTTCTCCAACCTTCCCTCTCTGGGCTGGCACTAATTCTGATTCTATGTAATGTGCATTTGGGCCTGGGGCAGTCTGCTCTCACTCAGCAGTTTGTCACGGAGACAACAAACACTCTCAGATTTGCAGCCAGAGCTAAGGATATTGTGTTGCTGGTGAAAGCAAGTCACAAGCTGTCGATTGGTGATGCAGAGGCTCAGAGATTGATCGACGATTTGAGAAGGCAGGTGGAAAGTCAGAAGAACGAACTTACCCTTCTCAAGTTGCATTCGAACATGCAACCTGTGGGTCTGGAACCATCTAGCGACTCCTCTGTGGCTCAACTCCAGGGAGAGATCAAGGTTCTCAATGAACGAATCGAGCATCTTAACCGCCTTTCAGACTTGAACAAAACAGAGGTTGTCCTTCTACGAAACGATGCCTTGAACGATATTCTCGGCATGGATATTGATAAGACCTCTCAGCAAATGATGATGGCGAATCTTGAGGATTTCTACAAGCGCTTGACGCATGAAATGGAGCAGTACAAGCAATACAATGCCACATTGGAAAATCAGCTCCGTGCTGCTCACCAACAGCTTGCGGCTGTTGCAATGTCAGAGAATAATAAAGCTGAAAGACTATCCGATAAGCGCTATGATTCAATTGTTAGACTGCAAGAGGAAGAGATCCAACTGCTCAAAGAGACGCTTCGTGACAAGGATCACATAATTCAAGGACTTACGAAAACCACTAAGCTTCGTCGTCTTGTGGACTCGTCGAACTCAAACGCTGTTCCCTCAGTTGACTACATCAAAAGACCCACCGTTCCTCAAGCGGTAGAAAGTCCAGACAAAGAGAATGTGGTGAGTGAGATCCGTCAGTTTAGATTGAGCCCGAAGAAGCCAACCCTTCCTCGCTTTAATTAGGTGTAACTATGCTATGTACGAATTATGATAATCAATGAAGAGCTTAAGCCCATGCATTAGGAGGACGTTCCTGGCCACTTTGTAGGCTCGCTCTCTTAGACTGGCTTTGTTTTGGCTGCGCTTTGGTGCTATCATGCATACGTCTTTGCAAACGAAGCAGAGAATTGAAAGATCCACCGTTTCCTCCAGATATCCCTCCACCAAGTTCCTGACTTGGTAGGGACGATTTCCGGCCATCGTTGTTCGGAGTTCCAGGAGGATTGGCAACTGACACCACCGGAGGTCTGAGTTTGACATCGTTACTGTCAAATTGAAGAACGTTTACAAATTTGTCCTCCGATTTCTCACCTCCATTGAAAAGGCCAGTGGTATCGTCAATTTGAACCTCGAACCCCATCAGCTGGTTCACGGTGTCATCCACGAAGAAGTCAACGCGATCTTTGTTGAATAATTGAACCTTCTTCCCCTTACCAAGTCTAACCCCATTCACAAAACATGAGTTGGTACTGAAATCTAAAAGCCAGATGTCTTCAAGGCAGTGTGCTGGACTCTCATATATCGACATTTGCGTTACTGGGTGGCGTCTCTTGTGAATTAGACAGTGGATTTTGGACATCCTGTCATCATTAATGAAAGTATCGCAAGTCTCGTTTCGACCAATAGCATATGGATTCACACCCTGGCGAATGTAGATTGGCTTTTTCGTTACCGAATCGGCCTTGGGCTTCAACGTAATGAAATTATCTTGAGGAGGCCCGTCAGGGTCATTGGGACTCGATAAGCTGAGCCTCCTAACAGCGTTTTCGTCAACTTTTATTCTCTTAGAAGTCTCTTCGTCCTCAAGTATCTGGGGTGGACGCTTCCTTCCCAGCTCATCGCTCTTTCGCTTCAACGGCAGTAATTGATTAGCAACATTTACCTTTTGCGAGTTTGGATGAAGAGGTTGGGATTGGGGTAGAGGAACAACCCTTCTTGGTACCTTGAATTGCGAGTTATTGTCCTTAGGCTTTTTGTTCTTTTCGCCTTCCAAGGGCCTGAACATCACATCATCGTCCAATTTGCTCATCGATGCATTAACATGTAGACCATTCTCAATCTTTCTCGACTTTTGTGATGTCGATTGTGATAAGCTTACCTTCTGTGATTCTTCGGACTCTTGCGAATATGGCTCTACTCCTTC